CCCCTGCCGACTAGCGACAATCCCTCAACCAACACGCTGACATGGCCTACATACGCAAACTGACCAGTCCCCTTAACCAACACGCTGACATGGCCTACATGCGCAAACTGACATAGTTCGCATTGGCCAATCAGCACCCGTGTTAGATAGTTATTGATTTTTCTACCTATTCAAACTTTAATTGTTATTTACAGCGTTAATTTCCCTTTGCAAATGTTTGGTCTGATGAAGAGTTGCTGAAAACAATTGTTTGCCATAAACTGACTTCTAATATTAACCATGGGAATATTTGCGGAACTTAGATAATCATTATTAATTGGCCATTTCGCTGTCCGTCGTGTAACACTTTCGGCAAATTGTCTGCCTCATAACTTCTATAACCTGCACTCCCCAGGAATGCTTATAAACGGCTTAGTGATTGCCGGCGGTACTCAGTTGTTTACAACTGTTTCCTTCGTCTGGAACTGTAAAAACGAAAATGAGATAATATAACAAGGAGCTTCGAGATAAGCGCCCGAAACACAAAATGATGGAAGGAAAAGTAAGTCGGTTGTGGAAGGGGAAAGAGGACCAAAAGGTGGTCTAGAAGAGCGTTCACATCAAACCACAAACAGCTCGCATCCTAAATGTATCTGCAGCTGAAAACGAGAATAAAGTAAATCGGGAAGACGAGTATTGGGAGACCTGGCCCATATGGGAAACGGTGGCAGCAGGAATGACACAGCAAATTGCAAAATCAAGGTGTTTAATATCAGAGTGGTGGAAGTCGATATCAAACGACACAAAAGAAGACAGTTGTAGTAAACTGCCCTACTTTTAACAACAGCTCAGGAATAAAACTTACTGCTTCATCGTCTGGTTTGTTCCAGGCTGGGTTGAGACGTTCTACTCGACTACTTAGCCCCGTGGAAATATGGTAGCTGAATTCATTAGTAACAATCAAGGAATTTACTTTGTTGGACAGTCAGCAATTGGCACACCATTGTCAATAGCGTCCACTTCACTGATCAGACTGGTATAAACCTACGTTTTCAAAAACAGTAAGGGGCGGGTGGATAGCATACTTGTTTGAACAGCGTTTCCAAGTCTGCATCAGAATTCAACTTTCCAACAATCTCGGCAATTACTCGCTTTCCAAAGTGCGCATAAACGAGACCCGCACTGCTCAGTTTTAGGGTTGGTTTCAGCTGGGGATGGAAGTCTTTTATGGTAAGATCAAATGATCTAAAAACAGGAATGGGAAAGAGTTTAAACGAATTACGGTTGATGATGGTCATAGCGATGAGAGGCCGCATCAAAAACACCACCAACATCTACGACGATACTGCAAGTTCCCAGTTTTGTCATGTCCCGGGTACGAATAATGTCTGCGTCTTTGTACTCTGGGAGTTGTTTAAGCATTGCAATTGCCAACACTTCATCGCAATGGAAGCAGCCGTTGTGGGTTCCGATCACTTGTTTTGCCATTTGGGAGGGGTTTTTACTAAACCAACTGTAGATGTAAAAAGTAAGAACTCGTCAGCTTGCAAGGATAGGAATACACTAGAGAGATTTCATTAACAAAGAACACCATGGATTCAGTTTGCAACAACAAATCCAAAAGTTGAGAAAAAGAGATCCCAT